TTTCAGATTTTTTATGAAATGAGTCAGCAGGTTTTTTGGATTTGTTTTCAAAAGCAGAGTTCTTGAGTCCGTCATGATTGTAACTCTGATGTTCAATGTCCAATGCCATCTGGCCTATTAAAAGGCCAGTGGCTATACCACCTCTCTACCAACTGTCTACAATGCAATGTACTGCTGCAGCTTTTAAGATAATAGTGCTTGATGATTAATCATCTCAGCAAACATCATTTCATTCCTTAAAAAACTTCTACTAGAGGATTTTCACACAGAACCCACCCACTTAAGGAACTTATCTTCACATCCTTATTCTCAAGTTATTGGAGCCACTGCTACATTTAGGCAGCTATCCTTATTTCAAGCCAGGAACTGTGTGAACCCTGTCTCTATCCTGGGAACACCAGGTCAATGTTCCTGTCATATGGGAGTCTGCACAGGGCTGTACAACAGGTGCCTCACAACTTCTGTTTGAGTCAGGAAACATGGAAGGCATTAATAATCCCAGAGACCAGAAGTCCAGAACTTCCTATAAGACCAAAAGGGAAAGTTAATTTTTATTCCTTCTAAGTTCCCTATGGCAGGGAGTAGAAACATCAATCAATAACTTGGTAAAATACTCTACCTCAAATAAAGATGGCCTAAAGCTGGGCAAAAATGCTGCACAGGAAAATAACACACTCTTATCATTGTCATATTAACCACCACCCACCCCCCAGTGAAGCACTACTAAACTTGCATAATAATCCATTTCTTTTTTGCACTCCCTCCCCGTCAAAATCCCCTCATGGAAAGAACAGACCCTGAATCTCCTGGAAGAGATAAGAAGGCAGCCTCCACAAGTCTCTGAACCCACCACTTGACCTCCCTAATGAAGACCAATCATGTCTTCATGCCCCAAGAAAATAACCTGATATACACTCTGATTCAGAAATAATGGAGGTTCTTCAAGAAAATATTTAAGAGAAGAGGCCCCTTATCATAGTCCGGGCTCTTTCCTTGAGACTGAAGAACGGGTCACAGTTTTCAATGTTAATCCCTCTGAAGGTTACCTCAAGGAATCTGACTTTATTAGGCAGCACCTGGAACCAGAGAAATCCATAATACCTAAAGCTGGGATCTTGGGTCCTCATGCCCAATCGAGGTGAAGGTACCTGTCAATTCATGCATTTTGTTTGCTCTGATTATAGATCAGAGTGTGAACATGAGGCTGTAAAAATTCTGGTGACACATTCTGATAGCATGTTAGTGATAATTCTTCAGATGCCACACTATATCATATAAATGCTGCCCATACACACCCAAAATTGCCTAACACTATATTTCCTCAGTGTGGGCATAAAGTACATGAAATGTTTTTCTAGAGAAATTGATCTTCATCTCTCCAATCATTTTTCAGCTAATACCATATTTTTGGGGCCATAAGACACAACTAGGTTTTTGAGAAGAAAAATAGGAAAAAAATTTTGAAGCAAAAAATGTGGTAAAATATTTAATAACATAAATAACATAGTATTTCACCAATGTAAATGTAAACAGAACTCAACAGCAGCATTAACAACCATTATTCCTCCCAAATTTGGGGGGGGGGGGAGAAAAGAAAGTGCATCTTATAATCCAAAAAATACAGTACTTTCCTGCTTTCTATGACAGTCCTGCTTTCCCATAGGAACAGCTGTCTGGAAAACAGAAAACAGTCCTAGAAGCAGAACAAGAGTTTGGGATCACTCCTGGACAGTGCTGCCATCTCATTTGGATAGGATACTTCCTAGATATCCTGAGTGTGCAAATTCTGTCTCATTGCCTCATCCAGTGTTTCCCTGAGTAGAAGCAATAGGCACGAGGTATGACTTGTTATATGACCCTAGGCCAGTTATTCAGACCCTTTAATCCCCCACATCTCCCTTGATTAGAAGTCCTTAGGCCATCAGTACATGAAAAACAACCCACAATGGGAATTACATGTTCTGAGTTCCCCAGTACAATACTGAATTTTCTGTTAATTGGGTGATTCATTCTCTCTGATGGTCAAACTGGAGAATAAAATATGAAATGATGGACTGCTATATATTAAGTATATTAATAAAAGATATTAAGCGTTGCAACCTGAATGATTTGCTTACTCTAGAAGCAGTGTATCTCTACAGGAGCTGAAGGTTGCTCCTTTAGGCCTATGGTCTGGGAGCTAGGGCAGAGTGAAGAAATTGTAGTAGAGCCAAAACAAACCTTATTGCACCTAATTTTTCCTCTCTTCTAAGTCTAAATTCAATGATTGATGAGTCAGGTGGCTCTAACAGCTTCTTTCACTTTACCATTCACGATGACGCCACAACAGCTTTATCTCCATGGCACTGTTCCCATGCCACCTATCCCTCCTTCTTTGCATACTCCAAACTATTTGATGTTTTTCTTACCAGTCACCACTTCATTTAGCAATTAAGCAGTTTGACCTTAATGACATTCCTATAGTTGAGGATGAGGATCCACTTGGTCCCTTTGGTCACTTGTGCTTCATTGAACTTAGTGTGGTGTCCAGGAAGAAGTCCTCACGTTAGGAAGACTTCTAAGAAGATTCCAATAATACCCACACCTCTTGATATTCACACCATGTGTAATTACACTTTCCCTTGAGTGTAGGCTTAGTTATTAATTTGCTTCTGGTTCATAAATTAAGTGAAAGGTGATGGGATGTCATTTTAATTATTAGTTCATGAAAGGTTATAACTTCTGTCTCTATAGAACTCTCTCTTCTGGCTTTGTAAAGCAAGTTGCCATGTTGGAGAAGCCCACATGACAAGGAACTGAGGGTCAACTCCTGCCAGCTACAGCCAGCAGCAGGCAAGAAATTGAGGACCTCAATCCAACAGGCCTTAAGGAACCAAATCCTGTCAATAGCTACATAAGTGAGCACAAAAATGCATCCTTCTCCATTTGAGCCTTCAGATGAAACTGGAGCCCAGCTGACACTATAATTTCAGCCTTTTGGAGACTCTGAAGTGGAAAATCCAGGTAAGCCTGGTTTACATTCCTAAATTTGGGGGTATCTGTTATATAGCAAGAGATAACTAAAACAACCCTATACTACTAGAACCTTGGTGGAAGGTATAGTATGGTGGGAAGGTAGGCACCAAGTAGGACAACCTCCCTGACAACATCCCGGGAGATACTGTCTTCATAATCCATGATTATGTCACATACTCTTGTGCTAAAATAGTATCATTGTCCTCTATCAAACCCTGACTAGTCTCCAGGATGTGTCTTGGAGGTAAGATAGTGTTTGGTGGATGGCCAGGATGCAGTCATGGATTGTGATGATGAAATCATTTTTCTCATGTTTTTCCTCTTTCCCACCCACTCCACAATTATATTTTTCTTACTCTATCTCCCTTGCCCCAAACTTCTTGGTGGCTGCCTGGTGACCACTCCTACAAGTGATGGCCAGGTGATCTATTGGTCTTGGAATAGTGCTATCAAGCTAGATATCCTTAAGAGGTTTCCCTGAGGAGCAGGAAGAGCTTGTCCTGTTTCTTCAGGTGCTCTCACAAGTATGGAGATGTCAACATTCAGTTCAAAATATTCTGTCCAGTTGGATTCACAGCCCACTTATAATAGATCCATCAGCCAGACCCACCCAGTTCCTAGACCCTACCCTAGCCAACCCAGTATCCACAACAGCACAACCCATTCATATATACCCCACTCAATGCCTACCCACCTGTGAGATACTCTGGAATCAGGAACTTTTTCTAAATGAAAATTAGTCACTGTTTTCAGGAAAATATTCATATCCTTGGCTCTTTTCAGAAATGCAAATTCTGTCCTCTTTCCTGCTCCAGTAAGGGTAGAGGAATGGGAAATGGTGAAGTGTTACACTTTTTCATTAGAATAAGTTAAGGGGGGGGGGCATGTCCTAGCACCCCAAGCTTCATGAGTCAGAGAAGAACTCTTAGCAACAGGTGGCATTTATTTTTCACCTAGAAATCCAAGAGGAAGATTTCTTCCTACTACTAACCTTAGTTTCTAAATATCCCCCTATCCCATTCCCAATCTCAAAACTTTCTGTATGGAAAATTCTGGATGTATTATACCAGAGTAACTCATCCTACCCTACACCTGCATATAGTTCAGAATGTGAGTGGAGCAGATAAAAAGATAGTTTGAGTCAAATTCTGGACTTTAGGATTTTTATCACTTTGAAAATGCTTGAAAGGTTTTAGAGAAAACCTTTTGTACTTTTTATTAGAAAATTGTGTTTTAACTATAGGACATCTGAGCAGGGTCAAATAAAGGACCCCAGGATAAAACTGAAAAGGCCACTGTTAGGCTTACAACAAAGGACTGGTCATCTTTTAGAAACAAAAAGAAGAAATCAGTAAGATCTGAAATAACTCCTTTCTTTCCCTAAGCACAAGTCCAGGGATATGGAATGCCAACAACCCAATGTAGTACACAGAGAACACCACACTCCATTAAAAGAAACATTTATTGAGCAGGATCACTATCCTTGGTTATTCTAAAGAAAGATTGTTCTCTTCAGAGGATATATTATGATGAAAATGGTGAAGCTTTCTCAACAATGACCTGATAATTTCTTCAGGGAAATTTTTTTCTCCTTTGTAGTGCTAAAGAACTGTTTTCTGTTTGAAAAGAAGAGTCAAATCTCTGAACACAGTGTCTTTGTAAGGTGTAAGGGGGACTGGAGGGACTGGGCATAAGTTGACATATGCTGATGGGTCTTGGATGGAGCACAGACTACCTAGAGTGTGGGGAAGGGTGTTGACGCTCTTCCAAAGAAGGCAAAAGAGCTGGTCCTTGAAGGCTACAACTTTCTGGGGATGTCTGATCCTGACTCTGTTCTTTATAGCATTTCTAAGAAAACTCTGGTCAGCAGTGACAGCTTCTTGATTGCAGCACTCAGTACTTGCACAATCTTTGTGATGTGTGTCAGAGAGAGCCCTGTAATTGGAGGGATGTCCCTTGTCAGGCTCTTCCTAGGCCTGCAGTTCCTACTTCTGTTGACTTAACTTCAAGTCCTCAAGTTCATGACTACATGCCAATTTCTTTTCTAGGATCTTCCCAATAGTTGCCATGAGCTCACGAGCTTCAGGAAGCTCAGAACTCAAAAAGATATCTGCACTTTCAGCTGAGTCATGTTTCTGTGCAAAGCTTGACATGAACTTGGCACTTTGCTGGGGAGTTTCCAGCCCTTTGATTTTTCTCTTGGGATTGATCCACTGAAAAAATTGCCTCATCTTTTTTCTGAAATAACTATCAGGAGGAAACTGTTCATCCTGTGACAGAGATGTGAAAGTGCCCTCTAATTCTCTGTTCTTAATAGGGTGGCTCTTCTTTCCAGCTTTAGATGTCCTTACACTTGAATCCTCACTTCCCCATTCTTTTGCTTTGGAGCCCATGGTTCTCAGTTCCTTTTCAGTTGGTGGAAAATGGTTATCCTGACACTCCCATAAAACATGCTTGGAGACCCGGGACTCCTGCCTCAGCTCTGGGCTGATTCCACTGTCCTCAAAGTGGACATGAGGACTCTGGGAAGCTCCCATGTCCCCACTGGAGATGCCCTGGGATGGAGTCAGTGAGGACATGCAAAGCAAGCGATCTGAAGTAAACTCACCAAGGACCTGTTTTTTCGGGTTTAATATTTTAGAATCTTGGGGGTCTGATATTTTTGATGAGGAACAGTCAGTGGTCAGGGTAGATTCTTCTTTACTCATATTGACATTTATCATTTGGGAGCCTCCAAACTCCTGGGCTGTCAAGATGTCACAAGATGGTGATTTAAGAGCATGCAGCTCCTGGGCGTTGAATATCTCCCTAAACATGCTAGAGATGCAAGAATGTTCTAAATTTTTCTCCACTGTCTTTTGGCTCTGAATCATTTCTGCTCTATCACTGGAATCCACATTCTCATACCTTGGCTCATGTCCAGCTCCAGCTTGCTTTCTGGGCATCTCTTGGCTGCATCTATTGTACAGTAAAGTCTTACTCTGACTCCCTTTGTCTATGGTGCTGTGTGTAAGAAGCTGAAAAGTCTGCCTGCCATGTACAATTGTCTGGGCATTCTCTGCAAGCTTATGTTCCATATCAGTGTGTGATATTTTCTGGACTCTGTGTCTTTCACTGTGTACATATGAGGAATCCAGAGGACAATCCAGGATGGAAACTGAATTTATTATTCTCAGATTGTTTCCCTGAAAAGTTTTGGAAGTTCCCTCAAGAGGCTTGGAAACCTCAGCTTTGGCAACTACCGCAGAAATATGGGTGCCTGAGAAAGGGAATTGGGGAAGAGGCCATGTTTTGGCTTCTCTCAGTTTATATAATTTAATAGATTTGACAACCTTCAGTGGGAGGCCCCACCTCTGACTCACACGAAACCTTATAATATGGGCTTCGAGTGCCTGTTGCGTGCTGGAATCAAGAAAAGGAAGCTCCAGAGTGGTAATCTGGCAGTTGACTCTACCAATCATTGTGGTTTTTGAATGCATATTTTCCAAATTGGTCTGGGAACTCCCAGAAGAAAGCAATGTGTTGTCCTCAGCCAGCCATGAACGACACACACATATAGGGATCCTACCCTCAGTGATCTGCCAAGACTTCTTGCTCAAATGTAACCTAAGAATGGTTTTCATTTGATTCTGGTCTATGTCCTTCCTCAAGACATTTATTAATTCATTCCCCAAGTGACTTGTTGAGTGGCATACACAGTTATTTTTTATCCTTGAGGCAGCCCTCAGACCCTTCACTAGGTAGCATTCTGAGACCATTTGTGGGCTGTCTTCTGGGCTCTTTTCTAGGATATACCCAAGATTTCGCTTCACTTCCTCTCTTAGCTGACATTTGTGTGGATCCCCCTCACAGAAACTTCCTGGGAAACTCAGTTCACCCTTGCCTAGAGACTTACTACACTGTCCCTGAAGGTCAGAGAACTGTAAGTGAGCATGACTGCCTTTCTGTTGAGAGGTTTCTGTTAACTTATACTGAGGTGCCATCAGTGCTAGAGGCTCTACATTCCTACTGGCATGAGGGCACCAGGGTGGAATTAACCTCCTTGGAGCATAGAGCTGCAGTTTCTCCTGAGGCTCATTGGTGATACAGAAATGGCCAGGGAGGATAGAGGCTGGTGCATAGGCATGGGATGACTGGCTGACCAATGGAAGGTTGGGAGCTCGAGGACAAGTGGCCTCTTGTGATTTTTGGAGAACAGGGACTGAATCTTGCAAACTTTCCTGTTGCTTCTGCAATGTGTGGCATTCCAGGTGTTGATTTTCACTCAAGATATTAGAGCCTGACTCATTCTGGGGTCTATGGATAGGCTCTACACAGTCTCTAATCTGGAACGGAGAAGGTGATTGGATTGGGAGTTGGGATTGAAAGTGGGGTTGATGCTGCACCTGAGTGAAAGATTGTGACTGGGGCCTATTTTGAGGCAAATGTTGAGAGTCTACATTGAGTAGAGGAAGGAGATGGAAATGAGGAAGTAGTGGAGATTCTTGTTGCTGCATTTTGACTGTAGATGCATTACAGATTCCATTGAATAGAACAAAACGGCTCTCTAGTGGGGAACTACTTCTAGAAACCAGGAGAGCAGCCACCAGGGACTCACTATGCAAAGAGGGAAGACCCCAGAAGAGCTGGCTATATTTCTGCTGCAAGTTTTTCCCCAAAGTCTTGACATACAAGAGCTGCTGGCTATTACACAGCTGCTCTGGTTTGTCTTCAATGTTCCAGCCAGTCTGGGGGACTGTGGCATCCTGTGTATCAGGTGGTTGCGATGAATTTCCTGAAGACGTCCGTTGGTATTCTGACCACATTTGTGTTGAAAATGGTCCCTCCTCACTTTTTTTCTTCTCTAAAATCTTTCTCTTTTTCACTTTACTCTCCAGGAGTGCCTGGATGTTAAGGCCTAGGAAAGAATGGCTACTGGCCTCCGTGTGCTTTGAAACAGAGTCTCCCCAGAGACAGGTCTCTGGTAGATGGAGGAAAACATGCTCTTGCTGAAAATGAGAGTGTGATAATGTGGGGAGAAACATGTTCTTGGCAAAAGTCTGCCAACAAGAAATGTTTGATATTAATAGGTTTGAAAGGTCAGAGTTTCTGAATATTGGGACATGACTGGACAATGGTCCAGGACTACCTGGAGATGAGTCCTCTGCAACAGGCTTCAATGAAGTGACAATTGATTTTGATTGAGTCACAGTGGAAGGGCAGTCTGGTGGTGTTGAAACAGACAGCACCGGTGGGACATGTTGACAACCAAATGAATCAGTAGGCTTCATTGTTTCTGACAAACCTGGTAAGGAGTTGATAACTTGAGTAAGTGTGGGATCACTTGAGAAGATGGTATTCAGAAACAAAGTGGATTCTTGGTAGATAATAGAATCTGTTCTCTGAGTGTCATGTGGTGAGAGAGGGATATAGGCAAAGGGTTGGGGTGGGAAATGGCCTACTAGAAATTTGGATTCCAAGGTAGAAAAAGGTTCTGGTGGCAGAGTAACCCAGTGCTGAAGGTGAAACAAAGTCAGCTAAGGGGGTCATTGGATTAGGGGAGAAAATATGGAGTTGTGGTGGGAAAGGCTCAGTTAGAGGGATGGGGATTGGGTCTCTTGGTGGGACTACTGAGAAGGTAGGAGACAGAGAGGATAATGACTTAGTACCAGGAGCTGTGGAAGTCAAACTAGTAGCATCTTCCAGGGCCTCTGGGAACAGCAGCCGATTGACTTCAGCAGTTGCATTATTACACACCTCACAGGAGGGGTCTGGACATAACAGCTGACGGAAGCGGATGGTATCATGATGCTGGCCTAGGGGCCTGAAGGAGACAGGAGATACAAAGCTGCAGCCAGGACTAGAAAAAACATAAGGGATCTTGGCAGGTCTGGCAAAGGTAGGGCCCCCAACTGCATATAATCCTTTCAATTTTCCTACTTCCTTGATCTCACACTATAACTTTTATTTCTCTCCCCAAGGCTTTCACATGCTGACTCTGAGGATCTTCCCTTCCATGTCAATCCCAGGCTTCACTGAAACCTCACAAATTCATAGACTCTGCTTGAAAAAGGGGGATTACAGAAACAATGTGGTAAAGCTTGGTCACCTTTGCAGAAGAGAAAGAACCTTCCTTGCCTCCTCTTCTTCGCTCTGGCAAGATTTCCAACCTGAGAAACCAGGGGAGTAATGAAGGTAGAAGCAAAGACATCTTATAGGAGGCTATTTAGAATGTTTTTTAGAGGTACCTTTGGAAGATTGGATTTGAGAGCCCAAAAATTAGAATACAAGGCCATATGTTCAGTGATAGTAACAAAGTTCAGATGTACATTGCTGTATCATTCACGAAGGGTTTTCATATGTATCGTCACATATGAAATTCAAAACAACCTTTTCGGGAACATTGGTCAATAGCTATCTCAAAGAGAAATCTGAGTTCCAGAAAGTCAGAGTCCTTTTTAAGGTCAGTAGACAGCAGTTCTTACTCTCAACATCTCACATTAAGGGCAACACCCATTGCCCAGGTCCATCACTACTTCTTGTCCAAGGATTACAGAGCAGGGAATCTGAGAAGTGTCTCAGGTTTTGAGTGCCTTCTCATGAGCCTCTGTTTGGTAAGGCTGTTTTTTGAGAGGGACTATATCTAGTGACTAACATGCTCAGAGACCATGGACTTGGGACTTCATGGAAAGCAGAGAAATGGTCACCTGTGGAGAGTTCAGGCAAAATAGGTAGAACCTTACCTTTCAGTGCCCCACATTTTTTTTGCCTCTTGTCTTTGCCCTCATGCTGGAAACAGAAAGAAAAGAATGAGGGGCTAAGATTCATTTCTTTCACTCTGCTCCATAGAATACTGAGACATCTATGATCCAAGAATAATATGACTATTTTCATTAACAGAACTTGCATTTTTATCTTTTATTGTTTTTTAAGGGGGATAAAATATTGTCAATTTCTTCTTCTTTGAAAAACTCAGAGGAAGATTGTGTCTATGAGGTTTATACATGGTATTTTCGGTCAGAAATCCTCTGCTTAAGGAGGACATATATTCTGAGGTCAGCAGTCTCATGTATGCTCCCTCAGCTAAGGCACTGTAACCTGTGACAGAGCTCAGGCTCAACCCTCTGTCTTCTCAGGGGCGCTCAGAGGCTCAGCACTGTTCTCCTGATTAGCCCAGCACAAGGGAAAGCTTGGTCCAGTGACACCTGACATGGTAATGTGACTCTTAATGAAGTGCAGAGATCCTAAACTACCTAAACACAATCTAGAGCTACAGATATATTGTATTTGGGATGTCACCACACCCAGATAATCTGTGAAATCTTAATCTTCCCTGAACCATTAGACACACTTGGTCTTTTCCCCTAGAAGAGTGATGTTCCCTATTCTCTTCTCAGACTTTCCATTTTAGTTGGCCCTCTGGCCCAAAAAAACTAATTTATAAATGTGGAAAGAGGAATGGGAAAATAAAGAATCATTTTTTGCCGGGGAAACTTCTGGGTCCAGCTCCCATATTTAAAGAGCTTAGGAGTCACTTCTCCAGTTTATAGAAGCAAAAATCTGAAAAATGGAAAAGCAATGACTTTTCTTGGAGCCACCAGAGAATTGAAGGGCAAACCACTGCTCAAAATTTTCACAGAAGGTAAATACAGAGAATTGTAGTCAAGATCAACTTACCTGGAGCAGAAGCCTTTGAGCCATAAACTGGTAAGAACACATAAAAGACATACTGACAAATTGCTGAAGGATGCATGTGGGCTAGCATGAGAGTGAGGAACTCATAGAGTCACTATCTTAGAGGGGGCGAACTATTTATGAATTTTGCCTCCAAGAATTCCTTTAGCTTCTCACAGTGAAAAGCCATAAAAAAGCTCTCATGTTTTTGGCCAAGCCATGGGGTGAGGTGAAAGATAACCATTCTGAACCATTTTGAAATACTCCCTGAGTGTTATACACCACAGAAGCCTCCTAAGTTGGGAACGAGACCATCAGTACCTTATCTTACATAGGAGAAGGAAAATTATTCAAACTGGGCCTTCCATAAACTCCGTCTCATCTAAAGAGTAAAAAGTCGGAGGTGCGGGGGGAGGTTAACAAAACTTGTGGACATCACAACCCAGGTATAGAAACACAGTAAAGGACTGAGATTTAATCATATGTACTCCCACAAGACCTTACAACCACATAAACAGAGCTCCAGGAGAGTTACAGGGGATCATAGCTGAAAGTGCTGCAAAGCATAGGCTCTACTTAAGGAGGAGATTTGGGAAACCTAAAGACACCACAGGAGACAAAAATCAAAAAACTAAAGTAAATGGAAACCTCTCATATATACAGCTACAGTAAATATTAAATACTGTCAACACCTATACAGAAAACATAACACTTCATGCTAATGGTCTATTTACTCCAGTTCCTGTTACCCAAAACATCATATCTGGCTTCCATCAAAAAATGACAAGTCATGCTAAATCAAGAAAAAGCACTTTGAACAAACAAAGCAAGCATCAGATGCCCATTTAGTTGTGACACAGATTTGGGAATTATCATATGTGGAACTATTATTGATATGTTAAGGGTCCTAATGGAAAAAATAGACAATGCACAAGAAGGTGAGGAATATAAGCAGAGAGAGGGAAGCTCTAAGAATCAAAAAGTAATATTCAAACCAAAAAATGTTATAACAGAAACAAAAAATGTGTTTCATTGGCTCATCTTTAGACTGCATATGTGCAAGAAAAGAATAAGTGAGCTCAAATACATGTCAATCCAAAAATGTGTAAACTAAAATTAAAAGAAAAATAATTTTTAAAAATTTTAAAACTCAGAATAACCAGAAACTCTGAGTTTCAAAATGTATAATATACAGGTAACTGGAATATCAGAAGGTGAAAAAAAAAGAGACAGAAAAAGTATTTGCAGTAATAATGGTCAAGAATTTTCCAAAACTAATGACAGATTAGACTATGGAGGCTCAGAGGACATCAAGCAGGATAAATACTTAAAATGAAGTCTATACCTGCACATTTCATATTTAAACTCTAGAAAACCTGAAGACAGAATTTTGAAAGAATGAGAAAAATAAGCATGAATATAAGAATTATGGACTTCTGCCCTGGCTGGCATAGCTCAGTGGATTTAGCGCGGGCTGTGAACCAAAGTGTCGCAGGTTTGATTCCCAGTCAGAGTACATGCCTGGGTTGCAGGCCATGACCCCCAGCAACCGCACATTGATGTTTCTCTCTCTCTTTCTCCCTCCATTCCCTCTCTAAAAATAAATAAATAAAAGTCTTTAAAAAAAGAATAAAAAAAAAAAGAATTATGGGCTTCTCATTAACCACACAAGAAAGAAGAGAGTGAAGTAAAATATTTAGTGTTGAAAGGAGAAAAAGTACCAACCTAGAATTTTAGTTCTGGTTAAATTATACTTCCAAAGTGAAGGAGGAAAAAAAAAACCACTGCAGATAAACAAAACTGAGAAAATTCAGCCACAGCAGATTGGACCTGCAGTAAATGTTAAAAGAAGATCTTCAGGGACAAGGCAAATGATAACTTGGATCTATATAGGAAAGAAAGAGAAGGAATAAATGAGGATAAAATAAAACTTTTATTTTTAAGATTCTCAATTCACCTAATAGTAATAAAAACAATGTATTGGAGCATTATAGTACATGAATAAGTGATGTGAATGACAGCAATGTTGCAGAGAAAGGAGGGAGGAACTGAGGGCTGTTGTAAGGTGCTTGCATTACCTGTGAAGTGATGTAGTATTGTATAAAAGTGGACTTAGCTTTTTTGTATATGTATATTAAAAACTCTAGGGCAACTATTAAAATATTTGTTAAAGAAGAAAAATTGATACACTAAGGCAGAAAATAGAATCTTAAAATGTTTGTTTAAGACAAGATAGCAAAAGAGGGAAAGAAAAAAGATTTGATGAAAAGTAAACAGTTACAGGTATGGTAGATATTAATGCAAATATATGAAAGAAATCAGTAAATCTGAATGTTTTAAATTCACCAATTAAAAGTTAGAGACTGTCCATAGATTAAAAAGAAAAAACAACATTGTATTTTGTCTACAAAACATCCACTACAAATACAAAGAGACACATAGATTAAAAGTAAAGGGAAAGAGAAAAATGTACCATGCTAACACTAACCAAAAAAAAAAAAACAGGAGTAACTATATTATTTTCAAGAGAAGCAGACTTTGAATCAAGGAAAATTATCAGGAATAAAGAGAGGCATTACATAACAACAAGGGGTCAATTTCCCAAGCTGTCACAACAATCCTTAACATTTAACAACAAAGTGTCAAAATAGATGAAGAAAACATTCATAGAACTCAAGTAGAACAGCCGATGAATCTCCTGTTGTTATTGGAGACTTCAACACCCCTCTACTAGAAAGGAACAGATTCAGCAGGCAACAAATCAGTAAAAATACTGCTGACCTGAACAGTGCCGTCAATCATCTTACCTAATTGATATTTACAAAAACTTCATCCAAAAACAGAATTCACATTCTGCTCAAGCACACATGAAACATTCACCAAGATATACTGTACATATTCAGTGCCATAAAACACACTATAACAAATAAAAAAAAAGTCATACAAAGTACATTTTTAGACTGTAATGGAATTAAAACTAGAAATCAATTACAGATAGATAGCTGGGAAAAATCCCAAAATATCTAGAGATTAAACAACATACTACAAACTAATGGGTCAAGGAAGAAGGCTCAAAAGAAAAAGAACTTTAAACTAAGTGAAAATAAAAAACAATAAAGCTTGTGAGATGTAGCTGAAGCAGTACATAGAGAAAAACTGGTAACTTTACATGTTATATTTGGAAAGATTTAATATTTACCTGATTGATGTCTCTCTGTTTCCGAAATACTGGGAAACAGAGATTGATTTTTAGGTAGCACAGTGACAGAAAGAGCAGCCCTATCGCACACAGGAAGGCAAGGATGGGAATAACTAAGAAGTGGAGCTGAAGTTCAGCCATGATGCAGTAAGGCTCCTCAGACAGAGGTTTGCACCATTGAAAGTGATTTGATGCCTCAGGCAGCTGGACCTAGAGACCACATTCTAGACTCAAATTCCAGGCTTACATCACAGAACTTTAGCACAGATACCAAAGGTTCTTGAAAATGGGGGAGGGGACAACTAAGGGAAGATGAACTCACAACCCATCCCACCATTATCCAGCCCAGTAGACCTGTCCATCCCTACAGGGCCCTTTCAATCCCTCCAACTTAACTTACAACTCCACCCATTCACCATACTATATATTTACCTTAGTGAAATTTTCTATCTGTTCTGAGATAGTACCTGAGACCTTTTTTATTGCCTGGTGATCTCCCTTTGGACCCGACACGACCTTAGAAAGTCTGCTGTGTCCAGGAATTTATACCTCCAAGATCTATTCTGTCCTTATGTATAATGTGTTTTTACCTGTATAAAACCAGAAATATATTCAGTGGCAACTCCCATATCACCCTAAAGAATCCACATTTACCAAAAAGCATGAGAGACCAGAGTAGCCTGTACCAACAAACAAAAACCATGAAAAAGAGACAAGATATGGCAAACCCAGGGACCCATGGCACATAACTTTAAAATCTTTACTAGTCCTTTTTATCCCAATATCTCCTTTAAGCTCTTCAGCCCCTTCCAGCCATACATTCTCTCTCTGCTCTTCCCTTTTTTTTTCTTCTATCTACCAAATCCCTTCACTCCCTGCAAAACATTAATTTCTTCATTTTACTGGCCCACAACCTGCAGGACCAAACAAGCCTTCATTTAAGGAGTGGGCTTCTCCTTGGCATCACTTAATGAGTACAACTCATTAGAAATACATTTTTGTGTTTCTTGAATCACACCTATGGTTACTTCTTCCATGAAAAGTTTATGATTCTTTTTTCCCAATTTACTTTCTCACTGTGTACCAAAATTCCTATTGGTATCTCTATACCTTTTAAAACAATAATGTATTTTTTCTTGATGGTATTTATCTCTCTATGCCATTTAATTATTATAACTCCTTCAGCTTATTTAGATATAAATTACTGAAATGAAGCCTACCGTGTCAACTCTTTACTTTGCTTGCCTGCATCCCCTCTCTGAGTCTTGGCCCCAGACACCCAATCCTTTTCCTCCCATGCAGGGAAGTTTTGCCAGTAATGGCAGTTCCATTCTTTGTGTATCTTCTCCTGCATCCACGTCTTCACCATTGTCTCCCCCGGAAAAGCAGGGTACATTTCGAGCTTCACCCCTTTCCCATATCCTTCCTTGAGTGATGAAGTTATCTCCATTCATAAAAACCCCTCCACACATCTTTGCATCTTTGCTATTTTTTAAATACCAAGTCTGGTCCTGTATCTATGGTTCTTAGGACTCACAACTACAAAAACATCCTTTAGAGGTGTCCAACCTTTGGGTGTCTCTGGGCTACACTGGAAGAAGAGTTGTCTTGGGCCACACATCAAATACATTATGACACGTAATCACAAAAAATATCATAATGTTTTAAGTAAATTTATGATTTTCTGTTGGGCTGCATGCACAGCCATCCTGGGCTACATGCGGTCTGTGGGCCATAGGTTGGACACCCCTAATTAAGCCCCACCAAGAAATTTCCATGTGAGAAGGCATTATAAAATAGCACATAGAATATACTCTTCAAAAAGGCCTTGTCCTAAAAAGGCTGAGAAACTTCTCCAGATTAAAGGAGAATAAAGGCAC